TGTCCCCTGCTCGTGGCACAGCTGTGTTCCCTCCTGGGCTGGGCAGCTCTGGTGCCTTTCAGCACCCCTGGGATGTGGGGCATGGTTGAAACGCAGCTTTCACCATTTTCCAGCACTGGGACTGCGACCCCTCTGCCTTGTCTGAGGGCAGCACTGGGGCACCTGGGACATGCTGGGTGTCCCTGTGCAGCTGGGGGACAGGGCAGGGACAGTGTGACAGGGCAGGGATTCTGTGACAGGGGCAGTGTGACAGGGCAGGGGCTGTGTGACAGGGGCAGTGTGACAGGACAGGGATTGTGTGACAGGGGCAGTGTGACAGGGCAGGGGCTGTGTGACAGGAGCTGTGTGACAGGACAGGGGCTGTGTGACAGTAGGGACAGTATGACAGAGCCAGGGATTGTTTGGCAGGAGGGACAGTGTGACAGGGCAGGGGCTGTGTGACAGGAGCTGTGTGACAGGGGCAGTGTGACAGGACAGGGACAATGTGACAGGGACAGTGTGACAGGAGGGGCAGCGTGGCAGGGCAGGGACTGTGCTCTGCCAGGAGCACGGTGACATCCAGGAGAACAGATCCAGGTGTTGCTGTGGGATGCCAGCTGGAGGATGGGGTGAGCACAGCAGTGCCAGCTGCTGCCTGGCTGTGCCAGCTGCTGCCTGGCTGTGCCAGCTGCTGCCTGGCTGTGCCCTGTGTGCAGGTGGCAGCCCTGCTGGGAGAGGTGCAGGCAGGCATGAAGGGCACTGCTGGCCTGGGGTGCAGCCCGGGAGGGCAGCACAGGAGGGAGCACAGGAAGGTGGGCAGATGAGGCTGTGTTGATTCCTTGCCTTTTCCTCAGTGCCATCCACTTCTCCCCTTCAGCTCTGTTTGGGTTTTTTTTCACGCTCCATCAGCTTTGTTTAGGATTCTCTGTTGGCTCTTGCTGCCAACCAGGCTTTGAGTCCCTGTGCATGGAAATGAAAGGATCTGGCAGTTCCCTTTGTCAGGACACCTGCTTGGAGGAAGCAGCTCCCTGCCAGCCCTCCCTCCCTGGGCTCTCCCAGGAGCAGAGCTGCTGCTTCCTGGCCAGACTGGGGCAAGCTTAGGACCATTAGAACACTAAGAGTAGCAATTCTTTTCTAACCATGCCATTGCAGCTTCAGCTTTAGTGTTCTGCCTTCTTCCCAGGTGGGATCTCTGAGTGTGAAATGCCTCAGTACGCCGTGTCACACCTCGGGCCACATCTGTTATTATGTGACTAAGCCAAATAGCTCCGAGCCACCTGCAGTTTTTACAGGTGAGGAGTTGGGAGGTTCCCTTGCAAAAACAGAAGCTGCCCCTCTCTGCCTGGGTGCCTCTGGCTCTGGATGTGCATCCCTCCCTTCCTGCCAGGGCAGCTGCTGAACATCCACGTCTTGCTCCCCTTTCCAAGCAGGAGTTGTAGGTGGAACTGGGGAAGCCCCTGTGGATTTGTCAGCCAGGGCTGCACACCCTGCAGGCAGCATCAGGAGCGAGCCCTGGATGAGTCCTACATCCAGCATTTTTTTTTTTTCCCTGAAAAAAGAGCTGTAGGTTTCCTGTCTCAGGCCAAACTGGCTGATCCCAAACCCTTTTCCATATATCTGTGCTCATGTCTGACAGCAGAGAGAGGAGAGAATAGGGGAGTCAGAGAGGGCTGGTGCTCCACTGCTGGTGGCCAGGGCCTGGATCCTGGTTTGGGGAGAAGGATTCCCCTTCCCTGGGGCTGTGCTTCATCCCTGTGTTCTCCAGAGCTCACAGAAGCTCCTGCATGGAAGAGAAAGAGCCTTAAACCAGATTTTAGGGAGCACTGGGGAGAAAATAGAGGCGACTCATCTTTGTTCAGTTTCACAGCAAAGAGCAAGTGTTCCTTGTCCCCTGCACCAGGGACAGCAGGGGACAGGGGCTGCCCACAGGTAGGAGGTGCTGGCAGGAGGTGCCTGGTGAGGCTTCCTGCCACCAGCGTTGGTGTGGCACCGGGTGGCACAGCCTGGCTGTGCTGGGGCAGCAGTGGCAGGGCTGAGCCCTCAGCCTGCTGTGGGCCTGATGCCATGTCACACCCCTGCAGGTGACACCCTGTTCGTGGCTGGCTGTGGGAAGTTCTTCGAGGGCACCCCGGAGGAGATGTACAAGGCCCTGATTGAGATTTTGGGCAGCCTGGACCCCAGAACGGTACAAAGCTCTCCTTTTGTGTGAGTGAGCCAGCCCAGAGCAGCACACAAAGCAGACAAACACCCCGAGGGTGCTGCTGAGAGGCTCTGGTGTGTGCAAGGAAGGGATGCTGTGGTGCTGGATAGCTGCAGTGCCCTGGAATGGACTGGCCTGCCCCAAATGTGTTTGTGCCTTGTGGGGAAGGAGCAGGGCTGGTTGTTAAAGGCTGCTGAGCTGGGACGTGGGGCTTGTCCTGCCTGCTGAGCCCTGGCACTTGTGCCTGTCTCCAGTGGGGGTGTTGGCTTGAGTGTGTTGTTCCTGGCAGTCCCCCTTGGTGTGCCCAGTGTGACAGGGCAGGGATTGTGTGACAGGAGTGCCCAGTGTCACTGTCCCTTCCTCTTCCCAGAGGGTTTACTGTGGCCACGAGTACACCATCAACAACCTCAAGTTTGCTCGGCACGTGGAACCCAGGAACCCCAGCATCCAGGAGAAGCTGGCCTGGGCCAAGGTGAGCTGCTCTTCCTTTCCTGCACACAGAGCCTTGCTGAGGAGCTGGAGGAGAGGAGACAATGCTGGGGAGAGCAGGGGGAGTTAAGAGCCAGGAGCTGCAGCATGCTGTGTTGCAGGGGAGCAGGGTTTGGCTGTGCCCTCAGTTTGCTGTCTGGGGGAGAAGTTCCCTGCCTGGAAACCCCTGTTGTGTCCAGGACACCCCTGCTCCCCAGAATTCCTGGTGGAGCAGCCCTGTGTCCCTCTTGCAGGCCCAGTACGACAGTGGGGAGCCCACCATCCCCTCCACCATCGCCGAGGAGTTCACCTACAACCCCTTCATGAGAGTGAGGTAGGGGGCTGCTGCTGCTGCTGGGGGGCTGTGGGAGGGAGGAGCTGTCCCAGTGCCTCCCACATCCCTGTCTGGGTGCCTCCAAGGCTCTCACTGGCTGTCCTGGCAGAAGGCTCCTGGATTTGGGGGTTGTGCTGAGCACCATTCCCTGACTCAGGAAGCAGAACAGCCTTTGGTGTGTCCTGTTCCTTCACCCAGCAGATGCTGCTGGGGCACAAAAGTGCCATTTCCTCCTGAGCCTTGAAACCAGGTTGAGAGCTGTGCCAAAGCCCAGTCTTTGCTGCTGAACCAGCCTGGAAGCCTGACCCTGCTGCCTGCCCAGCCGGGGTTCCATCCTGACCCTGCTCTTCCCTCCTGGCAGGGAGAAGCCAGTCCAGGAGCACGCTGGGGAGAGCGACCCTGTGCGGGTCATGGGGGCCATCAGGAAAGAGAAGGACAGCTTCAGAGTGCCCAAGGACTGAGCCCTGCCTGCATCACTTCAGTCATCACTTTGCTGTCACTTCAAGTGTCACTTAGACCTTCCAGATGTTTTAGGCGTCAAATCTTCTGTCGTGGTTGAGACAAGTTTTCTTTAGGTTTTTTGTTTTAATTAAGAAAAGAAAAAAAGCACTTTGCCCTTGTTGAGATGTTCTACAGCATATTTATATTATGATGAAGAATATTTATCCTCCTCTTGCTCTCTCAAGCTGTCACGTGTCACCTGCAGATCATTGTGCAAGTGCTGCTGGTGTGAGACTCGAGGCTGGGCAGGGTCAAACCTGGAGGTTTGGGAAGAAGCTCCTGTCCTTTCTCTGGGAGCCTGCTGTGGATGCAGAAGGTGGGACTGAGATCTCTCTGTGTGAAGCAGAGACCAAACCCAAGAGCTGAAGATTCCAATGTTTCCTCCTTGCTGCTTCTTCAACATTCTGTGTCCTCCTGGCTCCACTAAAACCAGTTCCAGGGACAGACCTGCTGTGCCAGTGCTGCTTCAGGGTGTCACCTGGGAGCTCCACGGGCTGCTCTGGCTCTGGGAGTGGCTCTGGGGCCACCCAGCTGCTCTCTTGTCCCCAGGCTTTGCTGTGCTTGCACCCTTTGAGTCCCGAGGCTGTTGCATGAACCTGCTCTCCCCTGTGCCCTGTGTGCCAGCCCTCAAACCAGCCAGGGCTTTGGCTGCTGGCTCAGAATGCAGGACCTGCCACTCCTGGTGAGTGACTGTCCCCCTGAGCTGCGGTGACACCCCTGCAGCAGGCTGGGGCCTGGCAGTGACAGGCAGCTGAGCAGCTGTTACCTGTCCCCAGGTGAGCAGGGCTGTGGGGTGGCACCAGGTGTCCATTTGCTTTAAAATGCTGAATTTTATGTAGTTCAGAGAGAAAAGTGGTACCTGAAGCTGTGGTGTCCCCTGGAACGCTGTGCTGCCACAGCTGAGTGTGACTGTCCTGCTGAGTGTGACTGTCCTGGGGGCTGGGCAGAGGGGAAATAAAGAACGGCTGGAAGCAGAGCTCGTTAACAAACACATTTAATGATTTCTTGGGTTTGGAGTGGAGACTGAAGTCAACTCTGCCTGATCCTGGGGTGACTGGGTGGCATTGTGGGGACCCCAGGGCTTTAGTGGCAGCTGTATTTTTGTGAAAGGGGAACAGAGACGGTTCAGCTCTGGTTTTGCTGCCTGTGAGTGCCAGTCCCTCCTCACAAGTGGCATTTGGACAAAGACAAGAGGGACATGGAGGGGCTGGAGCCCCAGGAGGGTCCAGCTCTGGTTTTGCTGCCTCCTCACAAGTGGCATTTGGGCAAGGACAAGAGGGACATGGAGGGGCTGGAGCCCCAGGAGGGGCTGAGGGAGCTGGGAAGGGGCTGGAGAATTCCTGAGGGAGCTGGGAAGGGGCTCAGCCTGGAGAAAAACGGGATCAGGAGGAATTTCAGTCCCTGCACAGCTGCTGCCAGAAGGGGACAGCCGGGGGGTCGGGCTGTGCTCCAGGGAGCAGGGACAGGAGCAGAGGGAACGGCCTCAGGCTGGGCCAGGGCAGCTCAGGGTGGATTTTGGGAGAATTTCCTCCTGGAGGGGCTGCCCAGCCCTGGCCCAGCTGCCCAGGGCGGGGGTGGGGTCCCCATCCCTGAGGGGATTGAGCAGCCCTGTGCATGTGGCACTTGGGGACGTGGGACAGCGGTGGCTTTGGTTTTCGGGGAAATGGTTGCATCCCATCTCAGAGGACTTTTCCAACCTCACCATTTCCATGCGGGGGCCATGGTGAGCCCTGCCCCAGCGCTGGTGTCGGCTGGGGAAGCTCGGCTCGGCTCGGCTCGGCTCGGCTCGGCTCGGCTCGGCTCGGCTCCCTGTGCCTTTGGGGCTGGGAGCCTGTCCCTGGAGCAGGGACCCTGCCGGACCCCCCTGCAGGAGTTCGGGTGTCCGGCACCGCTCTGCACCTTCTCCCCGCGCTGCTGCTTCCCTCCAGTGCCACCAGCCAGTGCCACCAACCAGTGCCAGCAGCCAGTGCCACCAGCCAGTGCCAGCAGTGCCAACACCCCCCTCCCTCCCCTTGTCCCCCGCTGGCCCTGGGGGCAGGGGCTGATTTTGGGCACAGGGCTGGGGGTCCCCCATGTCCCTCCAGCCCGGGGGGTGTCAGGATGCGCGGCAGGGTGGCACCGGGGCTGTCGCTGTCGCTGTCGCCGCCGTGTCCGGGCCGCGCGCGCTCCGCCCGCCCCACGCTGCGTGACCCGCCCCGCACACGGCGGGGACCGCCCCGGGGGTGGCGCTGGGGACACGCCGGGGTCCCGCAGCCCCTCCGCGTGCCCCCGGGGCCATGAAGGTGAAGGTGATCTCGGTGCTGGAGGACAACTACATGTACCTGGTGATCGAGGAGAGCACCCGGCACGCCGTGGCCGTGGACGCCGCGGTCCCCAAGAGGGTGAGCGGGTCGCGGGGGGTGGCGCTGGCGGTGTCCCCATGTCGGGGTATCCCCCGGCAGGACACAGCCCTCCATGCCCTGGCTGTGGGCTGGGACCCCTGCCCTGCCCTGCGGACCCCGCAGCGAGCGGGGTCACCCCAAAAGCAGCGCTCTGCAGCCCACGGCCAGCCCCCCTTCCCGGGACCCCCGTGTCGCCGTGCCTGGTGTCCCTGGTGCCACCCCTCTGCTGTCGCGGGTTTTCAGCGTTTGCTGCCGGCTCGGGCATTTCCTTCCTCCCGCAGCCTCGGTGTTCCTCGGCATCCGGAGCCTCCCGGCAGCCGTGCCGGGGCTGGCAGTGCCCGGTGGCCCTCGCTGTGCCAGGCTGGGTGGCACGGCCGCCGTGTCCCTGCCGTGGCGGTGGCACCGCGCTCTGCTCTGTGCCTTCCCTAAAAAAAGCACCGGCCCGAAATGCCCCCATGGCCCTGCTCCAGGCAGGGTCACGCCCGTGTCCCACCCTCAGCCTGTGGCTCCTCAGGGTGTCCTTTTGGGGGACTCCCCTGCTGGCACAGGGGACAGGTCACTGTGTGGGGGTGTGTGTGTCGCCTCCCCTGCCCTCCCACCCTGCTCTGGTCCTTTTCAGCTGCTGGAGATCATCAGGAAGGAGGACGTGGTGCTCAGGGCCATCCTCACCACCCACCACCACTGGTAGGTGTGGCTGTGTCCCCATGGGGACAGTGCCTGTTCCCAGTCCCAATCCCAGTCCCGATTACAATCCCATTCCCAGTCCCAATCCCAGTCCCATTCCCTGTCCTGATCCCATTCCCAGTCCCATTCCCACTCCCATTCCCAGTCCCATTCCCAATCCCAGTCCCAGTCCCAATCCCAGTCCCATTCCCCTTCCTAGTCCCATTCCCAATCCCATTCCCATTCCCATTCCCGTTCCCATTCCCCTTCCCATTCCCATTCCCAGTCCCAGTCCCATTCCCAATCCCAATCCCAGTCCCATTCCCAGTCCCAGTCCCCATGGGGACAGTGCCTGTTCCCAGTCCCAATCCCAGTCCCGATTACAATCCCATTCCCAGTCCCAATCCCAGTCCCATTCCCTGTCCTGATCCCATTCCCAGTCCCATTCCCACTCCCATTCCCAGTCCCATTCCCAATCCCAGTCCCAGACCCAATCCCAGTCCCATTCCCCTTCCTAGTCCCATTCCCAATCCCATTCCCATTCCCATTCCCGTTCCCATTCCCCTTCCCATTCCCATTCCCAGTCCCAGTCCCATTCCCCTTCCCATTCCCCTTCCCAGTCCCATTCCCAATCCCAGTCCCAGTCCCAGTCCCATTCCCGTTCCCATTCCCAATCCAGTCCCTGCTGTGCCCCCAGGGACCACGCCAGGGGCAATGAGGAGCTGGCGCAGCTCTTGCCAGGCCTGCAGGTGTTCGGGGCTGACGAGCGCATCGGGGCCCTCACGCACAGGGTCAGCCACGGCCAGGAGCTCTCGGTGCGTGCCCGGGGACACCGGGACCCCACAGGGCTCCTCTGCTCGGGGGGCTGGGGGGGGCCCTGCCGGGGGGCCAGGGAGGGGAGTGGGGTGCTCACACTGTCCCCAGTGGGGTACTCACACTGTCCCCAGTGGGGTGGTCACGCTGTCCCCAGTGAGGTTGGTCACACTGTCCCCAGTGAGGTTGGTCACGCTGTCCCCAGTGGGGTGGTCACGCTGTCCCCAGTGGGGTGGTCACGCTGTCCCCAGCGGGGTGCTCACACTGTCCCCAGTGGGGTGGTCACGCTGTCCCCAGTGGGGTGGTCACGCTGTCCCCAGCGGGGTTGGTCACACTGTCCCCAGCGGGGTTGGTGCTGCTGGGCCGTGCTCAGCTCTTGGTCCTGGGGTGGGTGGATGCAGATGTGGCCCCACAGATTCCAGGCTGGGATGGAGGAGGAGCCTCATCCCAATCCCAGCCTGTTTGGGCTTGTGCTGGAGGCTCCCACCCTCTCCTGGGTCCCAAATGCCATGGGAGCAGACAGAGCTGGACCCCCCCCAAATTCCCTTCAGGTCTGTCAGCTGCTGGGCCCCAGGCAGGCGAGGGGAGGTCTGGGGGGTGTGTTTGTCCCCCTCAGGGGGACCCTGACCCTCTGTCCCCCCAGTTCGGGGCCATCAGGGTGAGGTGTCTCTTCACCCCGTGCCACACCTCGGGCCACATGTGCTACTTCATGTGGGAGGACGATTCCCCGGATGCTCCAGCTCTTTTCTCAGGTACCCCCCCCTGCCCCGTGGCTTTTGGGGACACACTCCCTGTGTGCCGCCTGTCCCCACACTCAGCACTGCTGGGGTGACCCTGGCACCCCCACCCCTGGCCCTGGGGTCCGTCGGTGCCCACCCCTGTCCCACAGGTGACACCCTGTTCGTGGGGGGCTGCGGGCAGTTCTTCGAGGGCACGGCGGAGCAGATGCACACCAACCTCACCCAGATCCTGGGGACCCTGCCCAAGGACACGGTGAGTGCCCTCCCCTCCCCTGCCTGGGGGGCTCCTGGGGCCGGGAGGGGGCTCAGGGCAGGGATTCCAGGCTGGGACCTGCCCTGGGAGCGGGTCTGATGCTGGCTGCCTCCTGCAGAAGGTTTTCTGTGGCCACGAATGCACCGTCAGAAACCTCAAATTCGCCTTGAAGGTGGAGCCAGAGAATGAAATGGTGAAGGAGAAGCTGGCGTGGGCCAAAGTGAGTGGCGGTGCCCCCTGTGCCAGGGTGGGGAGCGGGGCCTGGGATGGCAGTGGGTTTGGACACCTCTGTCCCCTGGCAGCACAGGGATGACGAGGACCTGCCCACGGTGCCCTCCACGCTGCACGAGGAGTTCCTGTACAACCCCTTCCTGCGGGTCACGTAAGCACTGCTGGGCTCCTGCCCCAAACCCCCTCCTCTTCCTCTCCTGCACCTTCCCCGTTCCCAAACCCTGCTGGGAAATCCCAGCCCAGGGTGAGGGGAGGCTGCCTGGACACGGGGTCACCCCAGCCCAGGGTGGGGGTGCCCTGCTGTCCCCTCCTGTCCCCAGGGCACAGCAGCGCTGTCCCCTTGCAGGGAGGAGGCCGTGCAGAGGTTCACGGGCAGGACGGAGCCCGTGGAGGTGCTGAGGGCTCTGCGCTCCCACAGGGACAACTTCAAGAAGCCCAAGGAGAGGCCCAACCCCCAGGCCGTGCTGGCCTTCGACTGGGGGCTCTTCGACCCCTTCCTGGAGAAGAAGTGACACCCCCGTGGTGCCAGGGCTCCCTCCTGGCCGGGCCCAGCCCGGCTTGGCTCCAGCTGGGCTGGATTTTGTCTTTAGGCTGCTTGTGTGAGGCTGCTCTGCTCTGCTCTGCTCCCCTCGGGGGTCCCTTTGGAGAGCCCAGGCTGTGGGACCCCCCCTCGGTGCTGGGGTGACTGCAGAGGGTCAGGAGGTGGCTTGGAGCAGGGGACAGTCCCAGTTTTGGGGAGCTGCCATGGAAGGGAGCCAGGGATGCTCAGGGATTGTGGTGCCGTGCCCCACGGAGCACCAGGCTCCCCTGCCTGCCCTGCATCCCAATCCAGGGCTGCTGTGCTGGTGGCTTTGGGACTCCTGGGAGCCCCCACGGCCCCTCTGGCCCCGTGTCCTATGTGAGGGACACTTGGGTCCCCCCACGGGGTGTGAGGGACACTGGGAAGTGACTGGTGGCACTGGTGGCACCGGTACCCACCCAACCCCAGCCCTGTGCTGACAAACCTCTCACCACAGCAGGGTTTGGGTGGGTTCCCCCTCTTTTTTCCCTACTTTCCAGTAGGTCCCACAGGGATTTCTGCAGGGGTTCGTGGCCCAGTCGCTTCCTTGGGGAGCCCTTGGCCCCGTGGGGTGTCCAGGAGGAGCCAGGGTCTGCCCAGGAGGGATTTCCCAAGCTGGGACAGAGCTTAGGCAGCCAAGAACAAAGTTCTGCCAGGCATCCCTTTTTTCCAAGATAAAAACTGGAAAACACTCAGTGCCAACTCCATGGACACTGCCTTGTCAAGAGCCAGGGAGCAGCTGGGGCTCCCAGGCCTCCCCAGCCTTCACTTTGTGCAAAACCAGGGCTGTGTTTGGTTTATTTTTGTCTGAGAAAGGAGCAGAGTTTTATTTGCAGGTGTGGGGAGGCACTTCACACCTGTAAAGTCATTCCTTTTTTTTTTTTTTGGGGAGAAAATGAGGGTTTGATGGCAGCTCCCAGCACTGGGACAGAGTTGATTTCAGGGATTTTCATGTGTGGACTGTGAATTTCTTTGTTGCCATTGGGGCTTTTTCCTGTGCTACAAATTAAGGGTTTGTTTGTTTTTTTTTTTTTTTCCATTTAATAAATTATAGTTTGGATTTACTTTGCATGGAAGGGGAAGGATTTATCCAGCTGCAAAAGCTCCCTTGGTGCCACAGCCTGCATTCCTCAGTTCCCATGAAATGCTGGAGTCGTGGATGTCCCCTCTGGAATTTCATTTATCCTGGGAGCAGGGCTGGCCCTGGGGGTGTGAACCTGCTCCTCACCTCAGAGCTGGGACAAATTCCAGCTGTTCTGGTGGCAGAGCAGGGAGCCCAGGGTGGCTGCAGTGGCCTGGGAGCTGGGGAGGTGAGCGAGTGCAGAGCCCTGGGATTTCATTTCCAGCTAATTCAGCCTCCCTGACTGTGCATTTCTGGGCTGATGTGGTGTGCCCTGCACTGAGCCCAGCCTGGAGCCCCTCCCTGGCCAGCTCCTGCTTCAGCCAAACCCCTGCATGGCAAAGGGAATTCTCTGGAAGCACCAGTGTGCTCCTCAGGAAGGAGGGGAGGGGGCAGCAGGGGGAGGTTGATGCCTTAGAACACTGTGAGGTCGTGAATGATCAGCAACAGCTGAAAAATGGAAAGGTTTTAATTAAAAACATGAAAATTCAGCATTTGCTCTGTGGATTCGTTGGAAGAAAGTGCAGAGGAGGCTTTGGTTCCTGCCAGCCCCAAGGTCAGGAATTATTCTGTGGTAATTTCAGGATGTTATCCAGCACTAAGTGCCTGTTTTGTCTGGATTTAGGGATATTATCCCTCAGCAAGTGGCTGCTGAGGGTGGGTGAGTGTGACAATTCTCTGACTCCCTGCTGAGTGTTCGGGAAGAAAACACAGAGAAGGAATTGCCCTTGGTATAAATTATTATAATTTAAGGAAAAGGAATCCCAGGGGTTTTGTCCAGCATTCACTCCAGCCCCAGGGAGGATCCCAGGCTTTGGTTCCCCTCTCTGAGGGCACAGACCCTGCAGGGCAGTGAGAGGGAGAACTCCAGGCCTGGAATGAGACCATTTCTAATGGAATGAGGCTGTTCCAGCAGAGGCAGGCACAGAACTGAGTGCTGTGACAATCCAGCAAGGCCTGGAGGAACAAAACTGGGCTGTGGCACAAAGCTCAGCCAGGAGCTGACTCTGAATCCTTGAGCTCCTCAGTTCTGGCAGGACTGGGGCTGGTGGAGCAGTGCAGGGGCTGTCCCATCAGCCTGGGACGTGTTTCTGCCTCTCCTGCTGTGTCCCTGTCACACTTTGGGGTTATTGCCATCACCTCACCCTCCAGCTGGAGGAAGCAGCAGTGCCAGGCACTGTCCCAGAGGCAGGAGCTGCACAGAGCCCCTGGAGGAGCAGCAGTGTGAGTTCAGAAGGCACTGAGGGTCTCCTGGGCTGGGCAGCCCTCACCACTTGATGCTGAGGGCAGAGCTGGCTCTCTCCACGGCGTGGTACTGAGTGTGCAGCACCTGCAGAGCCCTCTCTGAGCCCCAGCCCCCCAGCCAGTGCTCGTAGAGCTCCCTCACAGCCTGGTTTTCCTCTGGAATCTCAGCCCTCAGGGAGTCATACAACCTCTCCACCTGCTGCAGCTCCTCCTTGCTGGATTCTCCCTGCAGTTTGATCTGCCCTCCTCCATTCAAACAGCCTGGGAGGGGAGGAAAAAAAAAAAAAAGGCATGAAGAATTTCAGCTGGGAAAACATCCTCAGAAATTCCAGGTCATTTATCCTGCTCCTGCAAACAGCTGCAGCAATGAAAACAGCTCAGGGATGGAGGTTCAGCCCCAGTTATCTGGCAGCAGCAGGGCCACAGGGCAGGGAGATGCTGGGCTGGCTCCAGCTGGGGCTCTGCCAGCTCTTATCTCCTGCCCCCAGCAGGGAGCCTGAGCCCAGCCCAGGTGAGCCCATCCTTGGGGGCACAGCTGGAGGAGAGGGAAAAGTGCCTGGGATGAGTCCTGGGAGGCTCCCAGAGCTGTGTGGATCCTTGGGAAGGAGCAGCTCCAAGAGGCAGAGGGGCCCCTCAGTGGGCTCAGGCTGCCCCTGCTCCCAAGGGAGCCAGCAAAAGGAAAATGGAATCAAATATTAAACATTTCTCCACCAGCCACAGCAGCATTTTCTGTAAGTGTGATGGTCAGGCCTGGGCAATTTCAGGAGGAAAATCCCCTCAGGTACCAGAGCTCAGGAAATCCTCCTTAAAAGCAATTAATTAATTAATGGTGCAAATGTTGTGTGATGGAATTCAGCTGCAATTCTTTAAATCCTGAGGAATTACTGGCTCAGAGGTAGGGAGATCCCCCTCAGTGCTGTGATGGGGTGGCTGTCACAGCCCAAGGGGGTGAGAAATCTCCCATTCCTCCTGTCTGGAATGCCCTGGAGCTCCCCCCAGGCTGGATTTGAGAGCAGCCTCACCTGAGGGACAGGCCATCACCTCCACGTAGTGATAGGGGCACTTCCCTCTCTTCAGCTTCTGCACCAGGTTCTGGATGTTCCTGAACCCATAGGCCAGGGCAAAGTGCAGCAGCACCTCTCCATCCCTCTCCAGGGTCACCTCCTGGAAGTCCTTGTTCCTGAGGGAGCAGAGCACAGCAAGTGGCTTCTCCAAATGAGTTTCTGTTTTAAGCTTCAAAGGGCCCAAAACCCAAATTCTTTGTGAGTCTCACTGAAGAGCTGTCCTAGTTCTGTGCCATCCAAGGGAAACAGGAAGGAATTCCTTCCAGAGCCTTCCAGGGTTGCTGGAGCCACCTGAGCAGAGTTTGCTGAAGGATATCTGTGCTGGATAAAGCACAGGGAGCCCCTCCCTGACAGACCTGGGTTCCTTCAGCCATCATCAAGCCCCTCAGGGGATTTTTGACTTCTGCTGGATCATAAAACATGGGAACAAACCCTGACTGAGCATTCCAGATTTCTGAGGTTAGTGGGAATACCTGGTCCTGATGAAAAAAAAAGTAAGTAATTTGATTTTTATCAAGATTTTGAGACTGTTTTTTCTGCTTCCTGAACCAGGGAATCCTAAACATAAAAATTGCTCATTAGGGATCTAATTAATTCCAAAGGACACATTAAATTAGAACTGGGAAGCCAGAAGGAATCTCAGGTGGATGAGCCTCAATGCCCAAACTCAGGTGATTTATTTTGTGTCTCACTGCAGTTAAACAGAGCCCCCAAACCCTCCCACAAGGTTTTCTGGGATCAATAATCAGTGACAAATCTCCCTGATTGGCCTGATCCAAGGTGAGGAATCCCAGCCTTCTTAATCACTCTAAAATTTTATAATTATTCTAAAAGTTGCCAGTGGGAAAATCCACCAGGCCAAACTCCAGGTGTGTGGCTGGGGAAGGGGCTGGAATTCTCCCTGGAATTCTCCCTGCCTGCCTGGAATTGGCTGATTTATTGCGGGAGGGAACAGCCCGGAAGCGAACTTTAACATCGGAAAAAAATTAAAAAAAATAAAAAAGGGGAGAACTCCTGAAAAAACCAAAAAACCCCGAGTTTTGTGTGGGATTCGAGCTCCTTACTTGAGAGGTCTGTAGTGGATGGAGGCCCCGTGGATGCCGAAGAGCTCCCGGGCAGCGTGGCTGAAGATGTGCTCCAGGAAGCCGCCCGAGCCGCCGCCTCGGTGCGAGCGCGGCTCCTCCGCAGCCCCGCCGAGCCTGGGGGCACAGCAGCAGCACCCTCAGGGCTTGTGGGGGCACAGCAGCAGCACCCTCAGGGCTTGTGGGGCCACAGCAGCAGCACCCTCAGGGCTTCTGGGGCCACAGCAGCAGCACCCTCAGGGCTTGTGGGGCCACAGCAGCAGCACCCTCAGGGCCTCTGGGGCACAGCAGCAGCACCCTCAGGGCCTCTGGGGCCACAGCAGCAGCACCCTCAGGGCCTCTGGGGGCACACAAAGCTCCAGGGGCTGCCCCAGGACAGGGGCAGCAGCCGAACTGCAGCTTGCCCTGAGCTCCAGCTCTCCTGGGAGCGGCGGCACAGGGCGTCCCTGGAGTGTCCCAGGCCAGGCTGGCCAGGGCCTGGAGCAGCCTGGGGTGGTGCAAGGTGTTGGGGTTGGATGGTTTTAAAGCCCTTCCCAGCCAAAGCATTCCAGGATTCTGTAATGGGTGCTCGTGAATTGATGGATGAGTCAGGGAGGTGCCAGGAGCTCGGGATGGTCCCTTGCCCTGAAGCACAGGCAGCTCTGGGTGCTCAGTGCAGAGCCAGACCCCAAAAGCTGCTCCCACCCCACCCCAGTGTGTGCAGCTGGCCCTGGAGCAGAATTTCCTCCTCAGTTCAACAGCCCTAGTGCTCGTGATTGATGGACGAGTCAGGGAGGTGCCAGGAGCTCAGGATGGTCCCTTGCCCTGAAGCACAGGCAGCTCTGGGTGCTCAGTGCAGAGCCAGACCCCAAAAGCTGCTCCCACCCCCCCCGGTGTGTGCAGCTGGCCCTGGAGCAGAATTTCCTCCTCAGTTCACAGCCCCAGTCCCATCTGACACCTCCTAAATGTCATTTTTCCACCAACAGCCTCCTGCAGATTAACTGGGTGACCTAAATATTTGTTATTTCTGCTTTAATTCTGGGATCTTTGCAGTGGCTCTGCTAAGGGGGAGCAACAGCTTCTGCTTCAGGAAATTTTTAGCACTGGGACAGATTCTTGTCCTTCCCAAAGGCTGCAGCAGCTTTTTGTGGGATGAAAGGAGCTGGAGTGATTCTCCAGTGGAAATTCACCATATTCTGACATGAAATATTTTAACTCCCAATTGTTCTGGTTCAAGCGACACAAGAAACCAAACCAAGGGCAAACACACTTGTGTAAAACAGCAGGAAAAGGGGAATTCTGAACTCTCTGAATCCTGGAGGAAAGGGAACAAAGAAAGGGGAATTCTGAACTCCCTAAATCCTGGAGGAAAGGGAACAGGGAAATTCTGAACTTTCTAAATCCTGGAGGAAAGGGAAGAGGGAAGGGGAATTCTGAACTCCCTAAATCCTGGAGGAAAGGGAACATGACTGAAATGGGATTTTGCTCTTACACAGTGTCCAGGGGAGAAGGATCTACATCTGACAGGGACACTCCTTCTTGCTCCAGCAGCTTCAGCACTTCTCCTAGAGCAGAACCAGGCACAAGGAGTTCTTATTTTTGGGACACAGGAAAACAAACCCCACAGAGCAGTCCCTGAACTGCACCTGCATTTCACCAGGGCATGATTTGCACCATTAAAGGTAAATACAGCCAGGGAACACTGCAAGGCTCCCAGAATTTACTGGAATTGGGAATCTCCTGTGGCTCTGCTTACCTGTGGTGATGACACAATCCACATCCCTGGTCTGGTATTCCTGGTTGAAGAAGTCTGGCCTGGAGGCCTCCAGCTTTTTGTCATAGCAGGGCATGACTGTGACGTGGTAGATCCTGTCAGGGGGCAGGTGCTGCAAGGGAGACAAGGCTGGGGCAGCTGGGGCAGCCAAAATCCCCCTGCCCTCAGGGAGGGCATTCCAGGAGCACAGCAGAGTGGGGAAAATAATGCCACTGTGTCCCTGGAATGGTCCCCACCATGACTGAGTATCTGTGTAATTAAATATTTATGAGTAAATGGAATGATTTCTCTCCTAAAGCCAATTTCAGCTGCAGTCAGTGTCAGCAGTTATGGACCTTCAGGGGTTTCATGGAATCTTGGGATGGGATGGGTTGGGTTGGGAGGGACCCTAAAGCCCATCCAGTTCCAATTTTAGGGACACCTTCCACTGTCCCAGGGTGCTCCAAGCCCTGTCCAGCCCGGCCTTGGACACTCCAGGAATCCAGCTCTGGGAATTCCATCCCAGCCCCTCCCAGGGAGGAATTCCTTCCCAATACCATCCAGCCCTGCCCTCTGGCAGTGGGCAGCCATTCCCTGTGTCCTGGCACTCCAGGCCTTTGGGAATAATCTCTTTCCATCTCTCCTGAGGCTCCCTTCAGCTCCTGGAAGTTTCCCTCCCTCTGGTGCAATGATCCAAGGTCAGGCAGAGAAGCCAACCCCTAATTAAGGCATTAGGGAATTAACTTCCTCCCTGCTCCCCAAGCTCAGCCCCTCAGGACATGATCTGGATCCCTCAGGATCATCCAAGCAATCAACACAGGCTGAGCCAACAGATCACTGACCCTGGGCCACTGTTTCAGTCTCCTGTGCCAAATATTCCCAGAAATTGCCAGATTTTATCCCAAATCTGCAGCTGCCTCATACAAGTGTCCCAGCCAGTGAGCCCCACAAGAAATCCCAGTGGTGCTGCAGCCCCTTGCTGGCCCAGTCCCAGGCTGGCTGTGGGGATAGCCAGCTCCCACCTGGAAAGATTCCAGAGGCTGCAGCCTGGGGACAGAAGCAGAACATGAGGCTGGGAATGAGGGATGAGTTTTGGAGAAGCCATCATCTGCACCTCAGCCTTGGCTTGGGTCACTTATTTGAAATTATTCACCAACTTTGAACAACAGGAGCACAAAGACACTGAAAATAAGATTCCTCAGCTTTCCCAAATAATTCAGAGGGTTTAATTTAATTAGCCCATGCTCAGTGTTCTAATTACTACTCATTAGCTAAGACAGAAGTGAGGAAGATTTGCTGCCTTCTGCAAGGCAATATTGACCCTTAAATGTGTATTACACAGCAAATTTATAAAAAAATCAGCCTACAGTGTTGAACTGGAGGAGTTCTGCAGTAAGAAGAGCATTTTTAGAGCTTTACCTTCTGCTCTGCAAAGTAGCCCTTGACCAGGGAGCCCATGACCTGCTGGGGGGATTTGGTGGTGCTGATGTGGGGAATGATGAAGCTGCCGTGGGTTTTCTCTGCATAGCAGATCCAGCCTGGAAGGAACATCATCAACAAATTCAATTAAAAAAAACAAGCAGCAGACCTTCACTCTGCCCATTGTCCCCAAACCCCAGGTTCAGTGCCATTTTCAGCACAAACAGCAAAGCAAGTGGAAGCCCAGATTGATCTGAAGGTGTCTCAGCACTGCTGTAGCACCAAAACCTGTGCTGTGAGGAGAATGATCCTGCAGGTAAGAACATCCATGTGCAGCTTTCTGAGCAGCTGCTGGAGTTTGGATTGCAGCTGGAACTGAAGCCATACCTGGGCAGGAGGAGGCCAGCATGGGCAGGGCCTTTTTGTCCTCTGCTTGTCTGTGGAAGCGCCTCACAAACTCCTGCTGGCTCTCCAGGAGGCTGAAATTCCTGGAGAAAGTTGTGTCAAACACGTGGTGCACACCTGGGCAGGACAGCAGCTGGGTTAAAAACCTCAGGATGCAGCAAAATACAACAAAAAAACCTCCCACTTCAAGCAGGGGCAACCTCAGGCACAGCTCCTGATCCCTGCAGTTGGGAGGGGACATTTTCCAGCGTGGGAAGAGGAGGAAAAGTGACAGGAGAGGTGGAAATGTAAAATGTAAAAGTTCTTTTCAGTGGTTCTTTACAGGTTTTATGGACTGATGGAATGGTTTGGGTTGGAAAGGACTCAAAACTCAGCCAGTTCCACGGGCAGGGACATCTCCCACTATTCCAGGGTGAGCCAGCCTGGTCCTGGGCACTTCCAGGGATCCAGAGCAGCCACAGCTTCTCTGGGAATCTGTGCCAGGGCCTGCCCACCCTCCCAGCCAGGAATTCCTTCCCAACATCCCATCTGACCCTGCCCTCTGGCAGTTTAAATCCTTTCCCTTGTCCTGCCCTTTAAAAAATTCCTCCCCATCCTTTTTCCTTTCCTCCTCTCCCTCCAGGCTCACTGTGTGACTGAACTTTGGGACAGTCTGGAATTCCTTATAAAAATCCTTCTCCTCCTTGTTCCAAGCTTTCCTCCCCTCCCTCCAGGCTCACTGTGACTGAACTCTGGGACAGTCTGGAATCCCTTACAAAAGTCCCTCACCCTCCTTGTTCCAAGCTTTCCTCCCCTCTCTCCAGGCTCACTGTGACTGAACTTTGGGACAGTCTGGGATTCCTTATAAAAATCCTTCTCCTCCTTGTTCCAAGCTTTCCTCCCCTCCCTCCAGGCTCACTGTGTGACTGAACTTTGGGACAGCCTGGCATCCCCGTGGGGGTTAAACCCCTTTAACTTGTGCTCAGCCCAGAGAGCAGGAAAGGCCACACTTGCCTAAACCCTTGAGGAAGGTGGTCAGCTTCTGGGCTGTCTCCAGCAGCCCCAGTTTGCACCTTGCAGCCAGGGAGGCTCTGGACTGGGGGGAGACAGAAACCACCACCAGCTTCTGCTCGTGGGCAGCAGCAGCCTGAAAAAAAAACCCCAAAAACCCCAAAGTGGCAGAGCTGGCAGCACCACAGAGCTCACCCCGAGGCAGGAACCGACACCAACCCCTTGAAAAAATGGGAATAAACCCCAGGAGTGCAGTGGGATCCCTCAGGAATTCCCTTTTGCTGTGGATTCTCCCCCTTTCCCTGCAGGGACCCACCTTGTTGAGAGCCAGCACCTTGCAGAGCTCCCCGTGGCTCTGCTGGCTCACCAGGACACTCTCAGCTGAGGTGATGCAGCCACTGCAGGCCAGGCAATCATTCAGGCTGATTTTGGCTTTCTCCAGCTTTTGTGCTTCCCCATCCTACAAAAAAAACCCCAAAAACCCAGAGGTGGCTCAGTTCTGACCCCAGAATTTAAGGAGCAATTTCCCCACTTTGCTACAAATAATGAAGATGTTGCTCTTTTGATACTCTTGGTTTATCATTTAAGAAAATCTTTATTTTTAGTGAGATGAGGACAAAGGCACCTGAAGCTGGCTGCTTTTCGTGGGATTATTTGGGGATCTCAGCCCAGACACTGGAAGGGAATATTTTCCTTTCCACCTGCCCTGAATAATTTGGTTTTCCCAAGAGATTCACTTTTCATGGGATTATTTGGCACAGCAAAGGGGATCTCAGCCCAGACACTGGAAGGGAATATTTTCCTTTCCACCTGCCCTGAATAATTTGGTTTTCCCAAGAGATTCTCCTCTAATCATCACTCCTCAGTAAAGCCAGGAATAGAGCAGGAAATGAGGCACTATTGACATTTTAAAATAAGGAGCCAGACTCCTTTGCAAGTGCTGTGTCCTCCTTTTTCTAAATCAAAATCTGCCTCAAGTTCCAAGTTCCTTTCCTAGAGGAATTCCCAGCCTGGTTAACTGAGCAGTGCCAACTTTTTCAGGTGAAAACAGGAAAAACTCAGCCTGAATTCTGCAAGCTTCTGAATTCTTCAAGTTTTTCAAGAAATAATTTAAAATATTATTTTTTTTAAAAGTCCAGCATGATTTATTAAAAATATCTTGGTGAAATCTCTGAGTGAGCACAAGGACATTGTCCCAACCAACCTGGAACTGCCAATCCTTTAGGTGAAAACAGGAAAAACTCAAGCTCAAAAACTCAAAATTCTGCAAGCTTCTGAATTCTTCAAGCTTTTCAAGAAATAATTTAAAATATTATTTTTTTTAAAAAGTCCAGCATGATTTATTAAAAATATCTTGGTGAAATCTCTGAGTGAGCACAAGGACATTGTCCCAACCAACCTGGAACTGCCAATCCTTAAATATTGATAAAATAAATCAACTTTTCAACCTGGAACTGCCAATCCTTAAGTATTGATAAAATAAATGAACTTTTCATCCTATCTGCTCTCTTATGAAAACCATCACAAATTAATGGCAGGGTTTCAGAGAATCACAAACTGGAATAAATTGGAATTATTGACTATAAAATGACTGCTTAATTTATAAATTAAAATGCTGTTAAATTAAAGTTGAATACAATCTCAGCTTATCTGCTCTTATATAAATAATCAGTAATTAATGCCAGTGTTTCAGAGCACAAAAGTGGCACAAAATTGGAATTATTGATTATAAATTAAAAAGAAAAAAGTACAAGAATGCTGACAGCATCTCTTGGAGGCAATAAATGAACGCAGCTAATTAAATTACTACAGTACACTCATTTTTCTGGGTTTTTACACAGAACAAAGACCCCACACACCTGACTGAGCTGGAAATAGCTCCCATCAGCTTCGATTCTGATCCTGGCTGCTGCTTTGCCAGGCTTCTTGTCCACTGGGACAGGCTGGATGCATTCCTGAAAGGGCAGCAGAGCCTGGGGTCAGCTGGGCGAGGAAGGGAGTGGCAAAAATCAGGATGGGGGTTGATAAAAATCAGTATGGGATTGATAAAAATCAATATTGGGATTAATAAAAAATCAGTGTTGGGGATTGGGTAAAAAATCAATATGGGGATTGATAAAAAGAAATATTGGGGATTGATAAAAATCAGTATTGGGGCTGATAAAAATCAATATTGGGATTGATAAAATCAATAGTGGGGTTGATAAAAATCAATATTGGGGTTGATAAAAATCAGTATTGGGGATTGATAAAAATCAGTATTGGGGTTGATAAAAATAGATATTGGGGATTGATAAAAATCAGTATGGGGATTGATAAAAATCAGTATTGGGGTTGATAAAAAGAAATATTGGGGTTGATAAAAAATCAATATTGGGGATTGGGTAAAAAATCAATATTGGGGTTGATAAAAAGAAATATTGGGGATTGATAAAAATCAGTATGGGGATTGATAAAAATCAATAGTGGGGTTGATAAAAAGAAATATTGGGGTTGATAAAAAGAAATATTGGGGATTGATAAAAATCAGTATTGGGGTTGATAAAAAATCAGTATTGGGGATTGGGTAAAAAATCAATATTGGGGTTGATAAAAATCAATATGGGGATTGAATAAAGAATAAATATTGGGGATTAAATAAATATTGAGAATTACATTTTAAAAAATAGGGGATCAAATAAAAAATAAGTATAGGGGATTGAATAAAGAATAAATATTGGGGATTAAATTTTTAAAAAAGAGGGGATCAAACACAAAAATACAGGGATTGAATAAAAAATGAAGAAGTGGGGGATGAGCAGCAGCAGGAACAGCTCAGCATCACCCCAGCCTGGCTCTGCTCCTCCTGGGGAACAGCCAGCCCCTTCCTCCTCCTCCTCCTCCTCCTCCTCTCCCCACAGCCCCAGCCCACCGAGGGAGGTGCCCGTGCCCAGCCCGGCTGGCTCTGGGGACAGGAGGGGCTCAGTGCCACTCTGCTCTGGTGGCCAGCCCAGCCCAGGGCTTGTTGTGGATTTGATCCCGTTTTTTTGATCCCCTGTGATTCCCTCTGAGCACTCCCAGGTTCCCCTGAGGGAATGCCCCTGGCAGGGCACAGCCTGGTCCTGCCCTGCAAGCACGAGCTGTTGTTTGTTCCCTGAGGAATTCAGGAATTCCCTCAGGCAGCCATCCCCAGCGGGAGTTCACCAGCTGGGCTTTGCTGGGCTCCCTGCACAGCCTCGGCTCAGCAAGGCTCTTCTGCAGGGCAAACACAGGGATAGGCTCGGGCTGTGAACCTGGCTGTGAACCTGGCTGTGGAAAATCCTGGATATGAACCTGGATATGAAAAATCCTGGATATGAACCTGGCTGTGAACCTGGCTGTGGAAAATCCTGGGTGTGAATCTGGGTGTGAACCTGGGTGTGAATCTGGGTGTGAATCTGGGTGTGAATCCTGGATATGGAAAATCCTGGATATGAACCTGGGTGTGAACCTGGGTATGAAAAATCCTGGAAATGAACCTGGGTATGGAAAATCCTGGATACGAATCTGGGTATGAACCTGGGTGTGAATCTGGATATGGAAAATCCTGGATATGAATCTGGATATGAATCTGGGTGTGAATCTGGATATGAAAAATCCTGGAAATTAATCTGGGTGTGAATCCTGGATACAAATCTGCATATAAATCTGGATATAAATCCTGGATATGAAAAATCCTGGCTATGAATGTGGATCCAGAGCAGGACTGCCATTTTGCTCTGTGCCCTGCCTGAGGATCCCTGCTCGCTGCTCGCTCCCTGCTGGGCACTGTGCCCTCACTGCTGTCCTCTGGGGTGACCCCGCAGTGTCCCCAGTGTCTCAGTGACCCCAGAGAGATCCCACAGTGTCCCACAGTGTCCCAGTGACCCCAGAGTGACACACATGGTGTCCCTGAAGTGACCCCATGGTGTCCCTGAAGTGACCCCACAGTGTCCCTACAGTGTCCCAGTGACCCCAGAGTGACACACAGTGACCTCATGGTGTCCCACAGTGATCCCGCAGTGACCCCACAGTGTCCCTACAGTGACCCCGCGGTGTCCCCAATGTCCCAGTGACCCCAGAATGATACTGCAGTGACCCCACAGTGTCCCTACAGTGTCCCCGCGGTGTCCCCGAGCCCTGCCCCGCGCTCTGAGGGAGGATCAGCTCCCATCCCTCCCTGTCCCCCCTCAGCAGCAGCGGCAGCGGTTCCACGGCCCGGGCCGGCCCCGTGCGGCGACACCGCGGGGCAAAGCCTGAGGGTGGCACCGCCGCCTCCCCTCAGGGCCCGTCCGCAGCGCCCGCCCCGCGGGTCCCCAGCGCCGCCACCGCCGGGGCGGCCCCACCTGCGAGGGGGCGATGAAATCGTCCAGCTCCGTCAGCTGCAGCACCCCGCTGAACCGCGCCGCCATGCCGCCGCAAAGCGAGCGCGATCGTCGTGACACGGGACTACGGCACCGCCGCAAAGCGAGCGCGATCGTCGTGACACGGGACTACGGCACCGCCGCAAAGCGAGCGCGATCGTCGTGACACGGGACTACGGCACCGCCGCAAAGCGCGCCACGCTGTCGTACAACCGGACAGCCACACCGCCGCAAAGCGAGCAGCAGCACTGTCGTAAAAGCGCCCGCCCCACCGCCGCAATTTTAATATAATATTTTTTATTTTTGCTCTGTAGATATCACCTTTTTGGAATAAACTAATAATATATAAAGCCTTTTGGCGTTCTAAGCAAATAAAAAGGTGTCGGAGCCAGGAAAATTCGGTGTAACTCCTCTTCTTTCACGCGCTGTGGGCTGTTGTGAATCTCCTGCCTCAAGGGGGTCCCAAAATTAAATCCCGGCAAGTGCTGGGAAAAGGCTGTGAGAAATAAAAACAAACAAACAAACAAACAATAATTATGTACAAATCGAGGTGAATTTCCTGCTGTGTGCTGGGTAAATCCCCGCAGCTGCTCGGCCCGGGTGCTGAGGGGGTAATTAACCACAGCAATTAGGGTGGGGAACATTTGGGGAGCAGGGAGGGTGGGACTGGGCTGTGCAGGACCTGGCACCCACTGCAGGTGACTCTGTACATACTTACATTATTTATATTTATTTGCACTCATAGTCATGCTTATATTTATGTGTGTATTTCCACGTATATTTGCACTTCTATTTACGTTTTACGTTTCTATCCGTACATATTTCCTGTTTAGATTCCTATTTATTTACATTTCTGTCTCTATTTGTGCTTCTCCCCCGCGGGTTAAGCTGCTCTGTCCGTGCCCAGGTGCCAGCCTCGCTGTGCCAGGCTGGGCACGCCCCGAGCCCCTTCCCACAATCCCTTTTCCTGGGTTTTTTTGTGCTGGGAATGAGGAGTGAGGCGGTTCCAGCCGTGCTGGAGGGGGGCTGCAGTGTTTTGGGGGACCCCAGCAGCTCTCCCTGCCTCGCCTGGGAACGGGGGGACAAAGAGAACCGCTGGGCCTGGGGACGGGGAGCCCTGGGGATCCGTGGGGGGGGATCCGTGGGAGGGGGCGAGAACCAGGGAATGGGATCCATGGGGTGGGATCCATGGGTGGGGGATCCATGGGAGGGGGATGGGGTGAGATGGAGATGGGCTGGGATCCATGGGAGGGGGTGGGATCCATGGGAAGAGATCCATGGGATGGGGTGAGAACCAGGGAATGGCATCTACGGGGTGGGATCCATGAGATGGGGATGGGTTGGGATCCATGGGATGGAATAGAAGAGGATGGGATCCATGGGATGGAATGGGGTGAGATCCATGTGATGGGGTGAGAACCAGGGAATGGCATCCTTGGGATGAGATCCATGGGGTGGGATCCATGGGATGGAATGGAATAGGATGGAATGGGGTGGGAACCATGGGATGGGAAGGGATCCGCAGGGTGGGATCCATGAGATGGGGATGGGATGGGATCCATGGGGTGAGATCCATGGGAGGGGGTGGGAACCATGGAATGGGATCCATGGGGTGGAATTGACTAGGATGGGATCCATGGGGTGGGATCCATGGGATGGAATGGGGTGGGATCCATGGGATGGGGTGAGAACCAGGGAATGGGATCCATGGGATGGAATTGAATAGGATGGGATGGGATCCAGGGGATGAAATGAAGTGGGATCCATGGGAAGGGATCCATGGGATAGAACGGGATGGGGTGGAATTGAATAGGATGGGATCCATGGGACGGGATCCATGGGATGGGGTGAGAACTAGGGAATGGGATCCATGGATGGAATTGAATAGGATGGGATGGGGTGGGGTGGGATCCATGGGATGGAATGAAGTGGGATCCATGGGATGGGGTGGGATGGGATCCCTGGGATGGGATCCTGAGCAGGAGGGGCTGGGGCACATTTTGGGGCACATTTCCGGGCTCTGCTGCTCCCCAGAGCCTGGCACAGAGGGGCAGCTCAGCTCACTGCAGTCCCTTTCCCCTTTTCCCCTCTCCTTGCTCAGTCTGTTTGCTCTGCAGGGCTTGGAGCCTCCCCTGAGCGTGGTTTGGGGCTGGGGCAATGCAAACAGCACCGAGGGAGCCAAGGAAATCCCTTGTGTAAACCTGCAGGAGGGAACAGTGGGGCAGAATTCCAGCTGCAAACGGAGGTTTGATGCTGCTGGCCCTTCTGGGGGTGTCCCCGTTGTCCCTGGGGCACAGGAGGGGCTGCGGGAGGAGTCAGCCAGGGCTGGGGTTAGAGGGGCTGGGGTGTTTGTGGGATTGCTCTGCAATTCCCAGAGCAGGGATCAGTGAGGATTGGGGTTGGGGTGTTTGTGGGATTGCTCAGCAGTGCCCTCAGCAGGGATCAATCAGGATTGGGGTTGGGGTGTTTGTGGGATTGCTCAGCAGTGCCCTCAGCAGGGATCAATCAGGATTGGGGTTGGGGTGTTTGTGGGATTGCTCAGCAGTGCCCTCAGCAGGGATCAATCAGGATTGGGGTTGGGGTGTTTGTGGGATTGCTCAGCAGTGCCCTCAGCAGGGATCAATCAGGATTGGGGTTGGGGTGTTTGTGGGATTGCTCAGCAGTGCCCTCAGCAGGGATCAATCAGGATTGGGGTTGGGGTGTTTGTGGGATTGCTCAGCAGTGCCCTCAGCAGGGATCAATCAGGATTGGGGTTGGGGTGTTTGTGGGATTGCTCAGCAGTGCCCTCAGCAGGGATCAATCAGGATTGGGGTTGGGGTGTTTGTGGGATTGCTCAGCAGTGCCCTCAGCAGGGATCAATCAGGATTGGGGTTGGGGTGTTTGTGGGATTGCTCAGCAGTGCCCTCAGCAGGGATCAATCAGGATTGGGGTTGGGGTGTTTGTGGGATTGCTCAGCAGTGCCCTCAGCAGGGATCAATCAGGATTGGGGTTGGGGTGTTTGTGGGATTGCTCAGCAGTGCCCTCAGCAGGGATCAATCAGGATTGGGGTTGGGGTGTTTGTGGGATTGCTCAGCAGTGCCCTCAGCAGGGATCAATCAGGATTGGGGTTGGGGTGTTTGTGGGATTGCTCAGCAGTGCCCTCAGCAGGGATCAATCAGGATTGGGGTTGGGGTGTTTGTGGGATTGCTCAGCAGTGCCCTCAGCAGGGATCAATCAGGATTGGGGTTGGGGTGTTTGTGGGATTGCTCAGCAGTGCCCTCAGCAGGGATCAATCAGGATTGGGGTTGGGGTGTTTGTGGGATTGCTCAGCAGTGCCCTCAGCAGGGATCAATCAGGATTGGGGTTGGGGTGTTTGTGGGATTGCTCAGCAGTGCCCTCAGCAGGGATCAATCAGGATTGGGGTTGGGGTGTTTGTGGGATTGCTCAGCAGTGCCCTCAGCAGGGATCAATCAGGATTGGGGTTGGGGTGTTTGTGGGATTGCTCAGCAGTGCCCACAGCAGGGATCAATCAGGATTGGGGTTAGAGAGGTTTGGGTGTTTGTATTTTTGTCCTGCAGGTCCCAGAGCAGGGGATCAATCAGGATTGGGGTGTTTGATGGTAGGAAAAGATCTCTGACACCTCTGGCTTCCCTCTCTCCTCCTTTGCTGCTAAAAATCCTGCTCAGGTGAGGAGCTGAGGATGAGATCACAGAATCGCTGAGGTTTAAAAAGACATTTAAAAACCCAGCCATTCCCCCAGCACTGCCAGGGCCACCCCCCAAACCTGTCCCAGGGTCAGCTCTGAAGTCCCTGCAGGGCTGTGACCCCAGCACCGCCCTGGGCAGCTGTGCCAGGGCTGCTCACCCCTCTGGGGGAGGAAATTCTTTATTAATCTCCAAATTAAACTTGCCCTGGTGCACCTGGAGGCCGTTTCCTGCTGTCCTGCCCCTGTTCCCTGGGACAGACAGACGTGGTGAAACCCAAACCCTCCGGGCTTGACCCCTCTGGCATTTCTGGGCGTGGGCTCAGCAGCTCCTTGGAGCCAAAATTTTGTTTCTGTTCCCGAATTCCCCGCTGGGAACGGCAGCCCTGAGCAAACAGAGTGACACAGCTCCTCGGTGAGGCAAATATTGTCCTTTTGGTAGGACAGCAGCCTCCCTGCTGGTGACATTTACAGAGGTTGTGTCACCCGCGGGGGCGCGGGGCTGGGGTGGCCTCCTCATCCTCATCCTCATCCTCACCCTGCCACAGCTCCGAGCAGGTTTGGGATTGGGGATGGGCAGGGGATGGTTGTAGCTGAGGCAGAGACAATCCTTTTAACTGAGGGTTTTTTTAAACCTCCATTTCCACAAGGTTTGAAGCGGTTTTATTGCAGCGCGCGCGCTTTTTGTGCACGGCCACAAAACCCGTGAATTTAACTTCTCTCCTTGGGCAGGAGAGACAAAATGCTCATTGGAATAAAGCACTGCAGGTTTCCCTCGTTTCTCCTTCTTTCTTTCTCGTTTCTCTGGCGAGGACCTTGGCAGGAAATTCTTCCTGCACGGATGCTCTTCTCAAGAAGTCGCTGTGAAAGCTCCTGCACGAGCAGGACATCCCCACCCCATCCCTGCTGCAGCTCCCTCCCTCCCTCCCAGGGGAAAAATCCAGGTTTTTCAGGAGGAAAACCCTGGGTGAGGCGTTGGAAGCTGAAATGCAGGGAGCTCCCAGAACAAACAACCAATTGTGGTGAAAAACCTGCGTTTGCATTGTGAGGAAATGGCATCCACCAGTCCCAAAAATGAAATCTGCACTATTGCACTGGGAGTCAGAGGTGAAACAAAGCTAAAGAATTGCAGGACTTATTAAAAAACCCTTAATATATATATATGTGTATATATATATACACATACACACACACATATATATATATATATATATTATCTATCTATCTATATAGAGAGAGAGATATAGATATATATAAGATATATAAAGTGAAACAAAGCTAAAGAATTGCCAGGACTTATTAAAAAAACCCTCAAATATATATACATATATATATATATATTATATATTATATATATATATTTATAGAGAGAGATATATATAAGATATATAAGGTGAAACAAAGCTGAAGAATTGCCAGAACTTATTAAAAAAACCCCTATTTTATATATATATATATGCATATATAGGGATATATATATCTATTATATATCTCTATCTATATATAGATA